CAGGAACACCCCCCCCCCCTCCCCCCGAACGGAAGGAACGATTGACCCTCGGTGATCTGTTCTTTGGGAACAGTGCTCCGTCCTCACGAGGATGCGTGGTCAATGGTCTAACCGATGAGGTATGCACAACAACAGAGTACCCCCCCCCCCCACCCCGAACCGCAACAGATTTTGCAATCCTCGGAGAAGAAGCGTCGCCTTCCGCGGAGATCGACTGCAACCAGGGCTTTGCTCTCGAAGGGCCCTATAGCGGGGCCACGAGATTCTCCGTCACCCCCGTTGGGAGAAGACCCCCTGTCAGCGCCGCCCGCTCAGGCGGAAGAAGAGGAGGAGGAGGAGGAGGAGGGGGGGGATTACGGCGTGGGGGAGACCGGGGCGTTTCCGTCTCCTGCCCCGGAGACGTTGGTGCCGCCACTTTCTCATGCGGCCGCCGCCGCCGCTTCTGCTGCAACAGCGCCCAGGACTTCTCTGCTCGATGCTTCGGTTTCTGCCTTTGCTGCTGCGGGAGGTGCGTGTGTGTGTGTGTATGTGTTGTCTGGGGACTGGCGCGGTGTAGGGAGTGCTCGCGCGTTGTTCTTGAACAAGAAAGCCGTGGTGGTGGTGGTGCTGCTGCTGCTGCCGTCGTCGTCGCTCTTCGGTTGGGGACATGCTTTCACCGTTTTTTCACCGTTTTTGAGGACAAGAGCATTATTATGCTAAATAGTCGTCGTCATTGTTATGTTGGACTCATCCGTCCTTTCTAGATGTTGACTCGCGCGCTGATGGTTCCATGGTGCCTTTCTAGATGCCGACTCTCGTGCTGACGGTGCTGCTCAACTCTTCCCCTCCTCCCGCCTTGGTACCTCTCAGCGGCGAAACTCGCAGGGAATGGCGGTGCGCCCTTCAATTCCGACGGGTCACTGAGCAGCTCCGCCAGCGACTACGACAGCGGACCGCCCTCCTTCGGGTCGCTCCCCGGCGATCACAACCGATCGGCCAGGGGCGCGAACGGCGGCGGGGGCGCGAGAGATGGAACGGGGTCCCCCCCTACGGGGCTCGGCCGAGCATTGGTTGCTCCGACGAACGATTTCGATGGCGCCGGCGCCGCCACCGCCGCCGGCCTGGCCTGTTCTCCGGACATCATGGCAGGCGATGGGGGAAGCTTCGTTGACGAGGGGCGGCTGGGGGGGGGATCCGAGGCGGGCGGCCTGGAGAGGATACCCGTGGTGCGCCTCCCACCGCCGCCGCCGACCACGCTGTCCGACGCACTGGCCACGAGGAAACTCGCCGACATCGACGGCGTCGGGGGCGCGGCCGGGGCGCTGCCCGGCGACGGTGCTGCTGTCGAGGGACCGCCGTTGAACAAGCAGACCTCTTCGGGAAGGAGCCGCGGCGGCGGCGGTGGCGGCGGCGGTGGCGGCAGCGAACGGTCTGGGCGTGGCGGTGGCCGCCAGTACTCCAGCCCTCCGCCCGGAGGGGAGCTGGTCGACAGAGACGGCGACTGGGTGAATTCTTCGATCGGCGGCGGTGGGGACAGGGTGGACAAGAGACGGCGGCAGCGCTGGTTGAACACCGCGGCTTCGCGGAGGGGGGACGGTGGCTTCACCACTGCCCCCGCCAACGGGGGGGGGGCGGGGAAGGCGGCGGCGGCGGCGGCGGGACCCCCTTCGAGCAGGGACACCCAAGCCAGCGGAGGGGACCGCGGTGCACGCATAGGCGTGGCCACCGCCGTAGCAGGCCGGGGGGTGGGGGTCGCTGGGCAGGCGGCGGCTGCGGACGGCGGCGGTCCGGCGGTGCCGTTGCCAGAATTCGGCGGTGATGGGGATGGGGTGGGTGGTGGTCGCGGTGTGAGCGGAGCTGCTACTATGTCGCCCGGGGACGTCGGCGGCGGCGCGGGGGCCGCGGGCGAGAGGGGAGGAGGGCAGCAGCTGGTGGTCTTCCCCGTGGCCAAGGCTTTGGACGAGAGCGACCTGGCCGTCCTCTCCTCCGACGAGGACTCCGTGTACGCCGCGTCGTCGGACACCTACGAGGTGACGTCCGACACGTCGTTAGACCTCAACGTCGACCGCCGGCTAACCGGAGGGCTCGGCGCCGACGAGGACAGCGACGACTATTACTCGGCGAGTGACGAGGAGGACGAGGAGGAGGAGGAGAAGTGGGGCGGGGGAAGGTCCGGCGGGGATCTGCAGCGCAGAAGGATGATGATGACGGTGAGCGGCGGGCCTTGCTTGGTCGGGGTTGCCTGGAGGATGAGAGGCGTGATTGTATTTTCCAGGCGATATTGTAGTAGCAGCGCAAATACGCCCCGTTCCCCTGCGGTGTTGTTTCTTTTTGTCGCGGCAGAGGAAGTAGTATCCACCCGCAAGCCGGCGTTGCCCTCGGCCCCGTGCGGCGCGCTCGGTCGTTCGTACTGGTTGAGAGGTCCCGCCGTCGTTGCGTCTGCCGTGTCTACGCGACGGTTACGCGACGGTACAGCAGTAGTCCTCCACCTCGGTGCCCGAAAGCGACGAACAACGAGCCCGCAATAACGTGGCCTGTTTTTTGTTTTGTTTTGTTTTTCTTATATGGAACTATCTGTTTTTCGTGCGCGCCTCTGCATACAACCCTTCGCCTCCAGGGGGGTGACGGCGAGGCCACGAGCGGCAGCGCGGAGCGCCGAGGGGAGCAGCGCCAGGCAAACGCCCGCGCCCGCGAGAAGGCGGCCGCCGCTGCCACCGCCGCATATGCCGGCGGCGGCAGCAGGGCGGACGTCGTCGGTGGCGGCGCCATCGACCCCGCGATGCTGCCGTACGCGGCGTACGGGCTGGCGACGCCCCCGGCGGGGACTGGCGAGAGCGACAGCCCCGGCGTCGGCGGCTCTTCCTCTGGAACTTCCTTCGAAGCAGCAGCGGCGGCGGCGGC